GAGGTCGAGAATCTCGTACTGGCCGGCGGCGGCCATCAGCGCGCTCGCCCCGTCTTGACCCACGCCCGATCGCTCGAGCCACGCCACGGCCGCGTCCAGCGCGCTGCTGTTGGCGAACAGCGGCCGCTGCCCTGGCTGCCCGCCACCAGCCGGCGCCGAGCTCGGCCCACTCGCGCTGCCGGCCGCAGCGGGGGTGTCCCGGGCTGAGCTGGAGGAGCCGCCGCCTCGAGGTGGACGCCGTAGACAAAGTCGAGCAGCAGGTTGAAGGTGGCCGGCGACATGTTGGGGATGGGGATCGTGAGCAGCGCGTCGGACGTACGCTGGGCCTCGCGCATACCGAGCGTGAACATGGCCTTGAACACCGCCGATCGACCCGCCAACAACAGCTTGTGCGCCGTCACCGTCTGATTGTCCTGTTGTCGTGTGCGTGTGCGGTCGTGCGTGTGTCGTGCGCGAGTGAGACGGCTGCGACGGAAGGAAAGGTGGAGGAAGCCACTCTCTCTCTCTCTCTCGCACCTCGGTAGGGGAAGGAGAAGGTGACGTCGTGAAGCGACTTGTCGTCGCGCCACACGGCGAACGAGCCCAATTGAACCACCGTGCGGCGAATCGGAGCGAGGTACTCGGGGAGGTGCGCCGTCGTCGTCGAGATGGCGGTGGTGTCGGGTTGCGGCTCGGGTATGGCAGGCGGAACGACTGCAGTCCCACTGTAGATTTGCTCAACTGCATCAAAAAATGGTGGCGTGTGAGTGCCTGTACGGCGCGTGTCGTGTCGTGTCGTGTCGTGTCGTGTCGTGTCGTGTCGTGTCGTGTCGTGTCGTGTCGTGTCGTGTCGTGTCGTGTCGTGTCGTGTCGTGTGCCATGTGTTCGATGATGAAAGCACAACGGTGTGTGCAGAGGGAGCAATAAAGACCAGGCGAATGCACCTCCAAACACGAGGCAGTTGAAGGCGGTCAGAATCGTGAGCGCACTGTCCTTGTTCTCCTGGAGCTCCTGCAGAAACAAATAAAACTGAATTAATAAAAATGCAATGAATAATAAGATTAAAAGATAATTAATATCAAACAAAAAGAAAGAAGAGAAAGACCTTGAAGAAGAGGGAGAGGCCATCGGCGTCGATGAAGAACTGTCGCTTTTCGGCCTTGTCCATGAACATGAAGGTCAATGCGAGCAGGGGCTTGAAGCCGTGTCCGTCTTTACCGCGCACCGAGCAGCACACCAGGCTCTTCACTGAACAAACCAAGCCTAAGCTCTCTACAATACGACACAACGCAACACACGACACTCGCACACGACACGCACACGACTCGCCATGCGTACCTCGAGCTCTCAGCTTCGTCACTCTGGGGTGGTAGACCTTGAGCACATCCGGGCGTTTGGGGAATTCGGTCTTGCACCTGGCGTGGTAGAGTAGATAGCGCCAGACCGTGGGCAGGCATTCCTCTCGGATGACCTCCATCAGCGTGACCTCTGTATGTGCGTGTGCGGTTGTGCGTGTGCGGTTGTGCGTGTGCGGTGAGACTTGGTGCCAGGCCAATCCCACCTCGGGCATTAGTTGGGGGGGGGTACCGTGTTGGGCCATGCTCATCAGTGCTTCGGAGAGGAAGCGCGAAGAAAAGTTTGAGCGCGCGTAGGTGTCGATGTAGTCCTTTATAAATGTCGGCAGGGACACCAACGCGAGCAGACTCGCGCCCTCGGCTTCATTTGCAAGGTGGTACCACATGTATATATGTATATTAAAAAGACACGCATAAAGACATGTTGTCATCATCAGTCCATCAAACATTCAATGAAACGTGGAGCAGAAGGTGTTTTGCAATATTGCGTCTACGTACCTGAAGATGCCATGCAATGTACAATGCCGCCTGCATTTGCCTTTGCCCATAAGCACTGGCCAGCTTTCACCTGTCAAACATTCGTGTCGTGGTGGCCGTGTCGTGTCGTGTCGTGTGTCGTTGGTCTCATCAGAAAAGGCACCAGCGCACAAGATCACTGGCCAGTGTAATCGCACCTGAAAGATGTCGCATATGACCGGGATGAGGTCGCAACTGGCCAGCGCCAGGGTGCGCGTCAGATCGGTGGCCATGATCCACAGGCACGAGGTCGCCCATCGCAGCCGCTGGCGCTTGGACTCGGCCAGCGGCGTGCGGCGGAGGAAGCCGGCCACGACCTCGATTCCGTCCTTGTTCGCCACGTGATCGCACGTGGCCTTCACTGCACCCCCCCCCCAATGTAAGTGCCGTGTGTCGTGTCGCGTGTTTCGTTTGTGGTACGGGCTCGCACCTTTGACAGAGTGGGCCAGCACCCGCAAGAACTTCTTCTGTGCGTAGTCCAGGTCCGGCTGTGGCGTCACGTCGGCGATCCGGCGCAACAGGTGCTCGATCACTGCCTCGCTCAGCACAAGCGCGCTCGCTCCTGTGCTCCCGCCTGGTTGCGGTTTGTATGCCCATATCAGACGCCCGCACTCTGCCCGCACACACGGCACACACGGCACACACGAAAGAAACGACACACACGGCACACAACACACGCACCCTGTTCCATGATGGGTGCCAAGGCTGCTGCGGCGTGGGCCTGCAAGAGGAGCCGGTACTCCTCATTGGCCACGGCGCCGGAAAGCACCTGCACTGCCTTTTGCTTCGTCTCCGCCGTCGTGCCTTGCTTCCACTCTGCGTCATTTGAAATGAGTAAATAACTATTCCTGGTTCTCTGGTATCTGCAAACACAAAGGCAATGATAATATAACTAATAATATAATAAAATAAAATAAAAATTTAAATAATCAATTTTTGTGCGGCGGAAGTGGGGGGGGGCGCGCGCACCAGTGGCTTTGATCTGCTTGAGTTTGGCCAGGGCCAAAAGGAGCACCGCTTCGGCTGTGTCTCCGGTTGAGATTTGGGCGAGTGCCCGCTGTATGTCCTCTTCCTGCATGGGTTGGTATGCGTTGTATTGATCTTTTCTTACGTCACCCAACCTCTTTATCTCTTCCTATGTACAACTTTTGTCCACTCCGGAGTGGTGGTTGAACGTTGTTGGAGCTAGGTAGTTTTGTTGAGGCTAGTGTGTGAAAGGTAGTAGTTGTAGTGGTGAAGAAGAAGTGATTTACTAAGAAGTCGCTGTACATTATTTATACTTGATCCGTCCACCTCTTCGTTTGCCTGCGTTTGCTCTCGTGTCGACATGGTCCACCTGGCGCTTTCCTGTCGACACCGAGGATCTCACGAATGTCAAGTCGCGCTCCTCATTGCTCACCCTGCTCCCTCTTCGATGGCATCAAAACAACAAACCTTCAACATAACCTGCTTCAAGAAGAAGGTTGCGAACGTGTATGTGGCGTCGGCAGTGTCGCCAGCTTGCTGCCACGGTTCCACTGGAACGCTGACGACTCGACTCCAACAAACGTTCGGTCCCCTTCCCTGGTGATCACTTTCACCCAAGCCATGCAACAACTTCTCTCCCTTTTCTAAATAGACAACATTTATTTAGTGATGTATCAGAAATCAGACATTGTTGACAGCTCTTCGACACGATCTAACCATCTACGCGGCGATGGGCGATGAGGGGCTTGTGTCGGGTCCCGTGGAGGTGGTCGAGGAGGCCCACGAGGCCGAAGTTGGAGTTGAAGCTGAGGTGGTGGTGGTCGTGGAACCGGGGGCTCGACAGGCCGCGGAGCCATGGCAGGGCGTAGCCGCAGTGGTGGTTCGAGGTGCCGGTGACGGCGATCGCGGTCCACACCCACACGGTGGCCAGGTGGCTGCCCATCAGCAGCGGGCCGGCCAGGAGCGGCAGCATGTTGGACACCACGTACTCCACCGGGTGCGCGTACTCTGAGGCGATCGAGATCGGCGCCCTGAANCGTGATGAATCTTGTGGATCCGCTGAT